AAAGAAAGAAAGAAAGAAAGAAAGAAAGAAAGAAAGAAAGAAAGAAAACTAAAAAGGATAGGAGAAAGAGATTTTTCCATTTCTTTTTTTAGGTGATTGCTTAACCAAATGGTCCAATTGTATAAATTTACTAAGTTGTTATTTCTTCATTAGGATTTTATGTACAATCACCTTTTACCTTGTGATTATCCACAAAGAAATTAAACAAAACATACATATCAACTTACATCCCTTCCAGGTATGCCTTCTATTCCTTTTTCTCCTTTTTCACCCTAAAAAGAAAGCAAGCAAACACCAATTAACATATGTACTTTGAGAAAATATCTTCTTGGAAATCATTGTAGAAATTTTTAATTGAAACTTCAGCATAATCTATACTCATTACCCACAATACTATATTTTTAATTTTCATCAATTTAATCTTATAATTTTTCTCATGGAATTAAAGTAAAAGAGTTAACAAAATGATTAGATAGAAGTGCAGCCAAATTTGTTAATGATGTTTTTCACTGACGTGTAAAATATTTGTTTCCATCTTCCATGGCATCATTCTCACTTCTGAAAAATAGGACTCTAGTTCATACAAATATATGGCACAATTGTTTTTATTATTCCAATAGCACTTGATAATATTTTACTAATTCAACTTTTATTTCCTCCTCTTTTCACCGTTCTTGTTAAGGTCAAGTCCTTGGCACCCACAGGCAAGTATGTATACCCAAAGTATGTGTCACCTCTCAAATGTATTCACTAGCCCAATACATGAAATGCTACTTCCCAAGATACAAGGGTGTGGAAAGTTGGTATCTAGAAAGGTTTCTTACCTAAGAATTCAGTGGATGACATTCTATCTTAATAGTAAATTTGTTTATTCATTAAGACTTATTGAAAATTAAGTGTAGCTAGTACCATAGCCTAAGAGTTCTTCTACATGTATTGAGGTCTAATTTAGGGGTCGCCATCCTTTTGGACCTTAGGGACCACCAAACTCATAATTTTAAATCCCAGGGACCACTAACCAGTTCCGTGGGCATGGTCTAATTTGTGGGTGTGGGTTGGTGGTCATAGGACTGGCTGGGCATGGCTTGTATATAAATATTATAAATATTTATCTAAATATTGAATTTTTTATAAAAAAGAGTAACTTTTGCCCAAAATCAGGCAAAGCAGGCAGGCAGATTGAATTGCTCACAGAATCACAGATTCATTCAGAGATCCATCTATCTGCCATTGGCTAGTTCATTCTGTTACATAAAATTTGCTTGCCTTCAGCACTGAATAATACAACGTTCAGTCCTGTGCTTAAAAGCAGAGCCGAAGATCTAACGATTAGCTAGAAAGCAAAAAACCCAACCATTTCCTGCTTCCAAGCTAATCTAAATCTCCCAGCACAGCAGAACAGCTGATGATCGGAAAAAGGAAAAATAGCAATTCAGTAGGCAGGTTTGCTGGGTAAGGAGCGAGTGGGCAGGGAGGGTTCCCACGGGCCATGTGGGTAGCGCAGCCTTCTGTTTCTGTGCAACCTGGATTAATTGCTTTGGGGGGTGATCTGGGGGTGAGATTTCTCTGTGGCCCACCAAAATTTTCTCGTGGCCCATTGGTGGGCCACGGCCCACTGGTTGGCAACTGCTGATCTTATGAAAAGGTCATACTTAAGAACTGCATGAAACTCCATCATGTGGAAAAAAATCCAAAATCTTAGTTGCTAGCTATCTGAAGTAATATTCATATTTTGTAGGTCAATAGAGCTACATCTAGAGCTTGGACATCCAGATAATCTAGAAAGGCTGTATGGCTTGAATAAATACCATGGTGCTCAGAGAGAAGATGACCCCAAGTTTAAGATGACCCTCATAAATTAAGAGTAGATAGAAAAAAAATAGAGACAAAAATACTATGTAATTCCAGCTTTTCCACCTTGTCAACATTTTATACACCCCAGGTTTATGAAAAAGGCAAATTTATAAAACATCAATATTAGTGATTTCTAAATATTTCAGACTGATGTACCACAAATGTGGAATCCTAGTTTTCATTTTAAATCATCTGATGACTTGTATGTGAGAAAAATCAAAGGAAAATGAGAACAATATGCTAGGGAAAGAAAGAGAATAATTGAAAAAAAATCAGAGAACAATGGAAGAAGAACCGTTAGAAGCTCTATGTGTCCAATAAATATTGCACATTTTCCTTCCTTTGTTTTATTAATTCTTCAAACAAATCCAGCCTTTCCTTTCCTTTTTCTATATATAATTCATAGTTTAAAGATCAAAGTGAAATATCTTTCCATAATTTATTATTGAATTCCTATATTGTTGTGTAGTAAGAAATAACATAAACAATACAGCTTTCTCACAAAATATTTCTTTTTCCCTCCCTATTTCCAATGCTGTACAAATCACTCCATTTATTAATCGCACCAAGAACATGCTGTCAGGGCTCCAACAAATCCACCCTCATTCAAATAAAAAATCTCTAGCCACATCTCAGAGAAAAGTAAATTGGTTTATTAGAAGTTGCCATGTTGGTACGTGGCTGGGTGCAGCCGATACTAAATTACATCATACATTTCCCCCTTGACCCTGGTCTTTTCTCACCCCCTGGATGTGACTTCTCCAATGGGACACATCCATCTCCATCCATCTCCATCATGCTCTCCAATAACCTTCTTATGCTCTGACAATTTTGGGCTGCCGAGGTGATTATCTAAGCATTTCAAGAATGCCTTGTTTTCCCCCACTCCCTTTTTCTGGCAGCTAAAAAGACCAAAGGAGTATCTTTTTAGTTGACACATGCACTTTTACATTTAATTCTGATAGTTCATATCTCATATCCCTTGTAATGCTAGTCTAAGGGATTGAGTCTTTCCAAAATCTACAAACAGAAGGGGGGGAACACCTGCCAACAACCTGATTATAACTAACAGATGGACTACTTGTAATTTTAGGTCACTTCTAGGACTAAATTCTATTATAAAATTGGCATTTTCAAAATTATCAATTTACAGCTCTGTATTAATTGGAACCATATCACTGTAATACTTAGTATTTCTCTCCAGATGTTTAAATTTAGCAAATCGGATTACTCAACCAAAGACATAGGCCTTTCAGCTTTTGTTCTAGTTTACAGACATAATTCCAATATGTAGGTATTCCAGGTTGGAGAAATCTTCAGTGGTATTTATGCAATCTGGAAACATGTTCTCCCATTAATAAAACTGAAGTAAACCTTGCAAATAAAATATTAAGATGGATAAGTGTTTTCTTTCCCCTTTATATTAACAAAATACCGGAGAACGGGCAGATATGCAGGTCTTTGAAAGTGGATGATACAATCAGTCTCCAAGAGAAAACAAGTTGAGGTTGTTTTTATAGGTTCACACCATAGGGTCAATATTTAATCTAATCTATACTTTGATTTTTTTAAAATTTGGTTTTTCTCTAAAAAGATTGAAAACTGAAGAGAACTAGCTAATTCCCTTTTCTGTTTATAGGTTGTGAAGAGCCAATTTTTTTCTGTCAGCAGATGACAAATGGAATTACTTTCATAGAATGCATTTTTAAGACATCTATACTTTCTGGGGCTTTAGTAGAGCGATGCTATTTTTTTTAAGAGGCCAGCATGTACCATGCAGTCAGGGATTACAACCATGTCAACTATACGCTAGCCTGGGAAGCTCATTCAGTTCAGTTCTGACTTCATAACTTCAATTTCATTTCATAACAGCTACTACTCTGCCTCTCAGTTCATATTCTTCACTTGAGTATTTGTTACATTTTTATTTCAAGATTGGTCAGGGTGGGGTTGGGGAGCAGTTTCCAGAACAACTTATTGTTTTCCCAGTGGGAGAAAAGCACATCTTCAGGAATGTGTGGGTGAGTTCTTAGATATATACCAACACGTCCAGTGGTTGGAGAGATAATACAATATATTGTTGGAGAGATAATACAATATATTGTCCCTGAGGAAATGGTCTTCTAGGCAGGTAAGTAGCGTTATTCTAAACATTTGTTGGAAGTGCTATAAAGACTACTGTAAGCATAATCTTGTAAAATTCTGCCGGAAGTCCATCTGGGCCTGGTGCCTTTCCATTATTTTGCTTCTTGAGTGCTTCAGTTAACTCCATCATTGTTATATTGCTTTCTAACATTGTTTCAATCTCTTTAGGTATCTGAGGTAAATTAGCATTCTGTAAATACTGTTTAACTCTTTCCTCATCAATATTCTCTTGCATATATAGTTTCCCATAGAAGTCTTGAATGATTTCCTTCTTCTCTTTACTACCATAGCAAACTTGGCATTGGTCATCTATTAACTGCAATATTTTCCTTGATTCTTTCTCCTTTCTCAATTTGTATGCTAACAATCTACCTGGTTTGTTTGCGTCTTCAAAGTAGTTCTGCTAAGCACCTCTAATTTTCTGTGCTAATTCTTCTTTTTCTATTTGACCCATTTTATGTTTAATTATATCCATTTTTAGCTTGATGTCCTTTTTCTGTGACATTTTCTGTAGCACTTTTTCAAGTCTTTTATATTCATCCTCTAAGGCCTTAGAGGCTAGTCTTTTCATAGTATTCCTTTTCCTTGTATAGTCTATTATCAAGCCTCTAACATATGCCTTCATTGTATCCCATACATTCTGAATTGATGTATCTTCTTTTTTGTTTTCTCTAAAGAAAAAAGCCAATTCTTTCTCCATCCACTGTGTGAAGTCTTTTTCCTTTAAAATAGTATTATTTAATGTCCATCTAGATCAGAGGTCTCATTCTCGTGGCCCGTGGGCCAAATGCGGCCCGCAGGACGATATCCTGTGGTCCCCACCGTGATATGAAAGTATAATATTAGTGTATAATATAAATATAAAGTATAATATAAAGTATAATATTATGCGGCCCAGCCTCACCCAGACTCTGCCTCCAGCAGTCCCCAGGTAAATTGTATTTGAGACCCCTGATCTAGATCTTCTTTTTTGTCCTTTCCATTTAATTGTCATTGGATTGTGATCTGCCCAATAAATATTGTTTCAATATTTATTTCTTGAATATTAGTTATTAATTCTGTTGACATCCATATCATATCTATTCTGGACCATGATAAGTCTCTATTTTAATAGAAGGTGTATTGTTTAGTTTTAGCATTTCTTTCTCTCCATGTATCTTTTAAGTTTATTTCATCTACCATTTTAAAAAAAGATTTAGGGAGAGTCTTTCTGTTTTGCTTTATTATTTTTCTGCGCTGTATAGTCCAATTAATTGTCTACAATTCCATTAAA